TTGACCCAAAAATACATTTTCTCTCTAGAACTAAAATTTAATGTTTTTAACTATTTAAAATTAGCTAAGAATAATACAACACAAAAGAAATGACCTCCAAAAACTGCCAGTGGCGAGTAATTAGCATTACCAAGTAATTAAAATATTCTAAAATCATTTGAACAATTTCTAAAAGCCATTTGAACAAGTTATAATCAAGATATCAAATTTTTGGTTGTGGATATAAACAGCGTTTGAGATTACCTACTCTGAAATTTTGAATAAATCCATTTTTGGCCGAAGCCAATATAAAAATTGTAAGTCTATAGCCTTAAAGGATTTTTGGCCAAAAATACGTTTTCTCTCTGAACTAAATTTAATGTGCTAACTATTTAAAATTGCATCCAGAATAATACTAGCACCAAGAAATGACTCGAAAACCCGTAAGTGGCGAGTAATTAGCATTGCAAAAGTAATTAAAATATTCATAAAATCATTTATGAATATTTTTTCTAAAAATAAATTGAACAAGTTATAATCAAGATATCAAATTTTTGGTTGAAGATCCTTAAGCAACACGTTCAGGAGTACCTATACTTTAGAAATTTTGAACACAATCCATTTTTGGCTGAAAATGACCAAGGTAGCAGAATCTATATATAGCCTTAAAAGGATTTTTGGCCAAAATACGTTTCTCTGAGGCTAAAATTTAGCGCCTTATAACTGTTTAAGTACATCCAGAATAATACACAGCTTTTAGAAATTACCTGAAATGCCATAAGTGAAGTTATTTGCATTTTATAAGTTTAAAGTTTTCAAATTCATTTGATGTTTGAACAAAATCTATTTGGAAGTTGTAATCGTATGAGATTTTGGTTAAGAGATACCTTAAGAAGCTCGTTTAAGTGTATTCAAAATTTTGCAAAATCATTTTTGGTCGAGATCATAAGATTATAAGTCAATGATAAGGATTTTTGGCAAAAAATGGGTTTTCTCTCTGAACTAAGGTTTATTGTATTTCTTTTTAAGTACATCAGAATAATACTAGGCGCAAAAATGACTGATAAATGCATAGTGGGAAGTAATTAGAATTGCAATAGTAATTATAAATATTATAAAGATCATTTTAAGGTTTTTCATAAGTCTTTGAACAGTTATAATCAAGATATGAATTTTTTAGTTGCAAAAGATTCCAAAGAGCGTTGGTTTCTATCTGAAATTTTACTAACTATTTCCATTTTGGCGAAAATATAAAATTGTGAGTCTATTGCATTAAAGGTTTTTTGGCTGAAATAATACGTTTTCTATTTGGACTAAGATTTTATATCATTCAACCGTATCAGAATAGTACTGTTGGTTTCAAGAAATTATCAAAATTGCATAGTGGGAGTAATTAGCATTTAAGTAGTTGAAATATTTAAAATATTTTGACATTTTCTAAAAGCATTTTGAATAAGTTATAATCAGATATCAATTTTGGTTTACAGATGTTTAAGCAGCACATTTAGAAGATGCTTCTTCAAATTTTTAGACAAAATCATTTTTGGCAGAAATGAAAAATTGTGAAGTCTATAACTGTAAAGGTTTTTTGGCTGAAATACGTTTCTCTCTGAACTTAATTTGTAATGTACTAACTATTTAAGTACATCAGAATAATACAAAGCATGAAATGACTGAAAGCCTTATGGTGGCAGGTAGTAATTGTGAAAAGTAATTAAATGTTCTAAAATCATTTGGACTTATTTTCTGAAAACCATTTTGAATGTTATAATCAGGATATGTGAATTTTGGTTGTACAGATCCTTAAACAGTACGTTCAATTTGGGTATATACTGAATTTTGAACAAATCAACCTATACTGAAATTTTGAACAAAATCCATTTTTTGGCCGAATATGACAAAAATTGTAAGTCTTATGCCTTACAGGATTTTTGGCCAAAACTACTTTTTCATTCAGAACTAAGATTTAATGTGCCTAACTATTTAAGTACATCCAGAATAATACACAACCACCAAGAAATGACCTCGAAAACCCATAAGTGGCGAGTAATTAGCATTGCAAAAGTAATTACAATTTTCAAAAGCCATTTGAACAAGTAATTATCCAGATATCAAATTTTGGTTAAGGGTACAGATCTACCACCTACTTATAAAAAAAGAAAAAAACTGTACTTAGCTGCCCTCTGCTGGTCTTAACCTCCCCCTCATTCGTCCGTCCAAGACAGTTTGAGTTATCTTCCGTTTTCCCTTTTGTTTCCAGTTCTTCTCGACGAATTGTTGGTATCTATGTGCTATTCCTGTTTACACTGTATCTTGCTATGAATGACGGACCATATGCCCACTCAGTCCTTTAGAAACAAAGAAAAAATCTTTCTTTAGGGCGGCAATAGAATGCCGTTCTAGATAGCCCGGCTTGTTTTTTGTTTTATGACTATTATTTCCTTATATTTTCCTTTCCAATTCTCATCAACGAATATATCTTTGTGCTATCACTGTGTACACTGTATCTCCCTATAAATGGTGGATTGTAGGCACAGTTTCAGTCCTTGAGAAAGCACACAAACAAAAGAAAAAGAAGTTTTTGTAGCACCAATAATGCGACTTGGTTACTGCTGGCAGTGGTGCCTTAATTGCTTGCTCCAATTTGTTCTTCGCTTCAAATTATTTACAACCTCCTCCGTGGTCATTGATGTCGCTATGAACTGTCTTAACTAAGGGCGCAATACTCACTCTCTGGTTGGCCTTTGGATGGTCAATCACAGCCATGAGCACAACTAAAAAAAAAAATCTTGTCATATGGCAATGGTTGTTTGCCTCTCGACCCAGCGACCTAGGCTGTACCTCCAGGTGGTGGAGAGTAAATTTCCAAATACCCGTATACAAATGCGACTAACATTAAAAGTCCTACATCGATTTACACTTTCACATCACTAAAACGAACTTCATGCTCTTATGTAATCACTGTCCAATTTCTGCCGCTCAACAACGAAGGCCCGAATGCCAACACGCTTTGTTACAGAGTCGCACACGACCCGACCAGCACTGATCGGCGCGTTAGCCGCTTGGACGATCGGTCACGTCTCTGTTACGCACTGTTGGCAAGTACTGGGCATGCACCGGCTCCTGAATGTACCTGAACCTGCTCCAGTGTTGGTCAAGTCTGGTCTTGAAAGAGCTCACACTCGGTGCCGTCACAACACTCTCTGGCAGATTTTTCCAGCAGTTCACAACTCTCAGTCCGAAAAAGTTACCCTCACAGTTTTCTGGACCTGCGGCTTCTTCAATCTTGAGCTGTGACATTGTGTTTCCCTTTCTACTTCTTGAGTTATAACACCCATGGTCTCAATTACACCACCACCAATAATAATAATAATAATAATAATAATAATAATAATAATAATAATAATAATAATAATAATAATAATGATAATAATAATAATTATTTAGCATTATTCTTAATATTATATTGATTATACTTGTATGTCTATTTTGTTATATAATTATAATAACTTTTATAGCAGATGTGTTCGGTGGACGCCGGGTTCAGTTAGGTTATTGGTATTCAGAACACTAATAAATACAGTATTATTTTGGCGTCAAAATACAACAACCATATACGGAAGGCAAAAACAATATTAAAGGGCATGTTTGATAAAATAAAAGATAATACGATGGAGTTATCTATAAGATTGTAAGAAAATAAGGGGAAAAATACCATTCAAGCAGGAACCTAAGTTCCGAACTGAAATAATTTGTAACCCATGTCCAGGCATTTTTTTTTATTTACCAACAAGCAGATGATAATAAAAAAAATAACCATCATAAAATAGTCAATAAAAATTCATTGCTGAAAAATCTAATAGTTCGAGGAATAAAAATACAGTATCGGGCTTTTTAATCCGATAAGAAAATTTAAAACAATAGTATTTCCCTTAAGACGAATTTATATATTTTCATATATATTACGAATAATATTTGACTTAAGTAATCTAACTATAATAAATACCATGATAGGTTGGGCTTTATTAAGTAGAAATGACTGTTTGATCTCAATGAGTAACTGAACTACTGAAGGTGTATGCAGTGTGTTATGGTGTTGTCTCTGATGTAACTACTCTGTCCTCTCACCTCTGCTGTAACTTTGTCCTCTCACCTGTGGTGTTGTCTCTGATGTAACTACTCTGTCCTCTCACCTCTAAACAACCAAAACAGGAAAACCTTTAAAATGCCTCATACAGGTGAGTAACATTTTAATAAATCACTACATATTACCTGTCGTTAAGAAGTAGTAAATTTGTATGGTCTAAGAAGGTTATCATGTGTCTAATGTTGAGTGATGCATTTTTAAGTGAATTTGAATTGAATATTTTGTTATTACGTAGTTGTGATAGTCTTTTGTAATATATAGGGACCAGGAATAGAATATAAGTTACTGAGGAGAGTGAATATAACTATTATTTAGTACTATAGGGTTCACTGTCATGCAAATGTTACCAACTGTTATATTTAAAGACGTAATTGTTACCCACACTAGAGTAAGGAACATAATGTAACCTAATCAAACCTCACATAACCTAATCCAACTTAACCTAATCCAACTTAACCTAACCATATGGCCCCCACACGGTCACACACTTGACATTTTCCATGGAAGATAATAGCTTTCTTGTCTCTAGAAATGCTGAAGGAATAAGCTATGATATATTTTGCGTAATTTAACTTTTATGATATTTCGTGTTTTTTCTGTGTGTGGGGGGAACTTTTGCATCTTTCTATCTGTTGACTTTCTGAGATCTGCCTGTGGGTAGTTATATAGATTTTTTTTTTTAATAAACAGTCATATTTTACGATTTATTGGTCTTAAATGAAGAAAACTAACCTATCCTAACTTAAAAGTGAAAAATTAATTACTGTCTAGGTTAGATTAGATGAGGTTTTGTATATTAGGTTAGGTCAGGTTGGTTAGGATAGGTCTGGTTGGTTAGGATAGGTCTGGTTGGTTAGGTTAGGTCTGGTTGGTTAGGTTAGGTCTGGTTGATTAGGTTAGGTCTGGTTGGTTAGGTTAGGTTTAGTTGGTTAGGTTGTTAGTTTTGGTTGGCTAGATTTAATTTATAAATGATAAATTATACAGGTACTCCGAGTTATTGGAATGTTTCCTTTCATAAGCATTTTTTTTATTATTATTATTATTATTATTTATTATTGCTACAAAAAATTATTGTATTGGGTTAAATTAGGATAAGTTAAGTTTGGATGGTTCTTTCTTTAACGTTAAAATTACTGTATATAATGCAGCAATATTTGGTAAGCTGTTCCTGTGATGTATGAATTGATGCCAAAATTTGTACAATTTTAGTTTAAATTTTTCACCACTTGAGGAATTACGTCATGGTCTCGTCTTGCTGTTTCGTCAGTCTGTTGTAACGCTTTGACTTTGTATCGTATAAGAAGAAAAGTTCAATATCACTTATATAACTGACCACAGTATTCTACCGTTATTGCCACGAGGTGAAAACAATATGGCGTGAGACGATGGTTGGAAGAGTTTTGTCCGCTACCTGAAGACATGGTAAAATTATATCGTGTATTATGTATTGCTTGTGGTCTTTTGTTGTTGTCGTGAGGTAAGAGAGGATAATGTTCTCTGGTGAAATTTATTACAGCAGGTACAGAAGTTAAGGTGCACTACTCTTCAAGAACAGCAATTATTTACATAGCAAGAGAATAATTAGATTTTTTTTTTCTCCATGACCAAAGAATATTATACAGTACAGTATTGTGAAATTTACCAAATATTGTACTGGTAGTCTTAATAATCTTAGGTGCAGTATACTGTACTGTTAATTGGTACTGTAATACTATAGAACATGATCTCGGGTTAACTAGCTTCTTTTTTAGATGTGTCTGTCGTACCTCAAGAAGATATATATTTTTCGTCTGGAATGCTTGAGGTATCAAGTCTACCATAAAGAGTGCTTTATAAGGGAAGTAGAAGCTCGGAGAATTAATGAAGCAAAAGTGTTTCATAATTGTTGAATGATGCTGTCATGAGACTGGAATATACTGTAACACTACCCACAGTCTAGAGTTCTCATGGACTCTCACCTGACACAGATTTTCGATGTGTTCTGTGAGAAAACTTGTTTGTGAAATAAATAAATATATATATATATATATATATATATATATATATATATATATATATATATATATATATATATATATAAGTTAATGAATTATGTTTAGGGAAGCATAATGCTTTGTCTAATGGTAGACCCTGCTGTCATATTGCATGACAAAAATTGTGACCAAGTCCCAGGTTGCTGATCTGACTTTCTTCCTCATTTACACACAATCATAATCAGCAGGTAGAGGCGTTGGTAGGAAAAGAGGGCGGCCTCAAAAAAAGACTTCTACACGAACCAGTCAACGTAGGCCTGTGGTCATCAGCCTCGATGTTACGTATTCCAGTGAAGAGGAGCCGGCCATGTGGCCATCCAGCCCAAAGGTTGCTTCTGATGATGATGATGCTTCTGATGATGATGATGCTTCATTACGACTTACTCCAAGGTGAGACGTGTTACAAGGAACAGTTACTCTTCACTGTGATCCACAGTGCTTTCTCATCCATTTATATTGTACTGTGTACTGAATAAATTTATTAGCAATATAAAGCAGTTTGAAACATTACAGAATCATTTTCAGTTTTGATGTTAGCAGAGATCTTCTTGTTTGTAATTTTTGATCACTTGAATATTTCCCCCAGTTTATTTTACTTTAAGTTTAACCACCCTAATGCTTACCTATCCTACTTTAATCTCACCCCTGTTAGTTGAGATGTTTAGTCCTAGGGTGAAATAAGCAGGGGGTCACCTTATCTTCTGGATATGTCTTTTTTTTTTTTTTTTTTTTAACAATTAACTAAATAATACATTGCCTATTTCAGAAAGACTTTCATTACAATAACTGCAAAGAAATACAGTGTAAGGACCAGTAGTTTATATTAGGTCTGTGGGATCGCCAGACTGGGCATCTGTGATATATCACTGGGAAGGTTTAGGATGTTTGGAGCAATTCACCAGTAAAGCTTCAAGATCTTGGATTCTAGGCGCTCTAACTTGGTGGCTGGGTCTAATCTACCGGTCTGTCAACTTCTTCAGAAGGTTATGAAACTTGAAGCTGTGCAATCTGTGTACAGTTTAATTGATCCACTCATGGGGTAGGCTTGCTCACAGCACAGTATCAACCTCCTCTGACCCTTGAACTACTTTCTTGTCACTCAGTCTTCTATTTACATCTGTTACTGTCTCATGATACAGTGAAGCATTCAAAATATTTTTTCCACCTTTCATTTTCACATATGTAGACAAAAATATTGGATTGGATTTCCTCTAATTATAATATCATGTAGTGTTCCTCTGTTGAAATGCAGACCTTAATCTTATTTTTTCTTGTATTTATTTGCTTTTATTTGTATTCATCAGCCCAGAAAAGAAGCCGAGACGAGGCGTCATGTCCGACTCTGACTCTGACTCTGAGGTGCTGGAATGTAAGACCTTGTCCCCTGTGGCCAAGAAAATGAAGATATCTGATCAGGAAGAACAGTGTTGCAGCGACTCTGATTTTGATCCCTTTGAGGTGGATTATAATTGTGAGCCTAAACTGAGTAGACAACTTGGTTGTCCACATGAATACATACCTGTGAGGTTTCACAGAAAATACACAACATTTACTCGTAACATAAAATGCAGTATAACTCGGGAAATACCGTAACATATGTCAATTTTCTTTAGAACCCCATACAAGAACAGTGTTGTCTGGTAACTTTATTCACCAAACTTGTTCCTTTTTCTATAATTTTTGCTCTTGCCTCTCTTGCTGCTTCATCTTTGTTCCAGTATGTAGCCAGGTGCTGCCAACTCGTAAACAAGCATAAAACACAAAGCTTATCTTAACATTAAAACATGCATAATGTATCAAAATAATAGTGAAGAGAAAGAGAAAAATGTGTGGGTGATGGTGATCAGCCGAGCCGTCAACACATGGCAGCAGCAACGGACTCTGATGTTTGGGAGAGGGAGTGTTGAGGACGCCTCCGCAAAGTGGCGCGTTGAACTCCGTGTTTATTAGTACAGTATATTTATTTATGCTGTGTTTGATTGAAGTCAAACAGAGCATCCAAAGGGTTACTGCCAACACTCGACCTGCACATCCTCTTCCTCCTTTTAACCTATACAGTAGTGTACACAACTTTGTTCTTGGTACTAGTTCAAAGCAACCCATGATAATGTGCTCCATTGATTGTAAATTTTTCCCCAGTAAGAGTCTTGGCACAGAAGTTCCCCTGTCAAGCATCACCCAAAAATAAGAGATTGGAGGTTATAGTTTGCCAGTTAGGTATGGGAGGTGATGAATTTTGACGGTTTATAACCCTCACCTATGCTTAGCTACTCCTAGATGACATTATGCTTCTTGATAATGCTTCTTGCTGATATTCAAGCTTTATGATTAATAATGCTGTGCCATTTTCTTTCTGTATGTCTTATTAATTTGAAGAAAAATCTGGAATGAATTAACTTTTCTCTTACTTTATTTTAATTCGCTGTGATCTTAGGATTGGTTAGCTAACATTCTTCCGTTCACAATTTCCTCCGCTGTTTCATCAAAAAATTACTGTTGAACAAGTTTTTACTATCGTGACTAAAGTAAGCATTTGAAATAACTCTTTAGGGGTACACTCTTTGTATGCAGCTCCTCCCCGACTTACGACGGGGTTAGGGACCCAAATCCAGGTCGTAAGTCGAATATGCTTAAATAATACATAGAAAATGTAAAATGGGTCTCTTTTTCTTCTCAGCACCACAAAACTCACTTTTAAGCTTCCCAGCCATTTTAAAGTTAATTATAAACGAAAATTTTGTCAGTACACAGCGCAATCACTGACGTTGGGACTCGAAAATACGTAATTCAACAAAATTTGGGTACGACAGAGGCAGGTCGTAAGTTGGGTAGGAGCTGCACTTAAGTTGTACAGTATTTTGACTGGGGATACTGATTGCTTTTAATTTTAAGTTCATATAAAAATACAATTACCGTAAGGATTATTTATTAGTTTCATTTTATATTTTTCAGTTTACCATCAGCTAGCAATGAAAAATGCTTCCAAGGAGATTCAAGACATGGATAAATACCTGAGTTTGGATTCTTGTCAAAAGCAAGGCAAATCTAAGAAACAGTCTGACATCAAAGATGATGATGTGTGTGTGGTGGAGGATGACATGTAAGTATAGTACTGTACTGTATGTGTGATGGAAGTTGTACTTTATTAGGGTAAGAGGTGGTGTTGGGTATGGGTGTTAAAACATAGTATCTGTTCCTGTGAGTGTCTTGTCAATGTAATACTTTCTGCCGTACCTTGAAAAAGCAGAAAAAGATTTTAATGAAATTTTACTATGTAGAATATGGATTGACCCCCTCCCTCCAACAAGATTTTAATGGGTTGTATTTTTCCCTTTATGAGTTACCAGATATGATCTATAGATGGACTTTCCCACAGGATATAGCGAGGGAGAGCTGTGTGTGGTTATTTGATATTCTATTATTGCCAAACACATCTCTATAGCTTAGCCTTATGACGAATGTTATTCTCACCATTAGTGTTATTGGTTAACATTGTAATGAAAGAACAGTGTTGATATGTTATTAGTGGCATGATGCGAGATTTGAAACATTGTCCTTATCTGAGGTGAATAATGGGAGTGGGTATATACAGTACAGGTACAGTAAAACCTGTATTTAACGGACCACAGGGAGAGGAAAGTCTGTTATATTAAGGGTATATTATTTGTGAAACCTCCATCTAACGAACTATAGAGATGAAAGTTCATTACAGTGGTCCCTCGGTTAACGAACACAATTGGTTCCACAGAGTCGTTCGTTAACCGAATCCATTGTTTCAATGGGATATTGGGTAATTGATTCCAGCTCACAGAAAAGTACATACAAAGTAAAAAAAAATGCAGTAAAGTACACTTACTTTGAGGTTGTGTATGTAGAAGGTTCCTGGTTGATGATGATGATGGGAATTAGAAGTGGGGGTAGAAGAGAAGGAAGTGGGGGTGGAGGAGAAGGGAGAAGAGAAGGAAGTGGGGATGGAGGAGAAATCACCTTTCAGGGGACTCATGCTTGATGCAGTAATTTCACCAATAAAATTTTAAGTTCACTAGGTGTAATTCAAGATTATTTTATTTAAATCAACACTGCACTGCGCTATATATGTTATCAATATGTTAATTAAATTTCAGAATGACCAATAATTTTAATGTAAAAATGCGAAAATATTCAAGACACCAACAAAATCGATGTTCACTCCACTGTAAACAAAGCCACACTGACACCTGGTGGGTGAGTCAAGCGGCTGATGGGCGCACAAAGAACTAGTTCCCTGTACTGCATATACAGTTGAACCTCGATTTATGCAGTTCTCGTTTACGCACTTGGTCATTTACGCGATACCTTGCCAGAACTGGGATGCCTGATTTACGCGATAAATTTGGTCATTTACTCGGGTGAGGTATAATTTTTTTCATTTACTTAAGATATTTATTTTAGCTCATAAAATTCATACAAATTACCCGGCCAGAAAATAATTTACATTGCTTGAATTCTTACAACATGATGATCATTTTAAATATAAACATCATGGATTTTGCATTAGACATACAAACTTTAGTCTGCGGCATTATTTATTACTAAAAATGTAAATATACTTTTTTAACCCAAACATTTCTCTGGTAGGGAGGGAAGGTGGGGGTAGGGAGGGAGGGAGGGACCCAGCGAGTGTGGGAAGAGGCGGGGAGCCGGAGGTGGGGTATTTTGATTGACAGATAGTGTCTGGGTGAAGTATAATTTTTTTATTTACTGAAGTTATTTGTTTTAGCTCATAAAATTCATGCAAATTACCCAGCCATAATATAATTTACATTGCTGTATTTGAATGGACATAAACCTGGCGACCGTATTTCTCTTAAGTATTAATTGTGTGCATACCATCATAAAATTAAGATGTTATTTTTACTGCAACATAGGTATTGTGTCGGAAAAAGTGGAGTTTGGGAGTCGGCCCAGTCTCTATTTCAATTAATCCCATATGTTCTGTTATTCCATATACGCGTTTTTCGTTTTACGCGCAACTCCGCGGGTTCGATTGACCGCGTAAATCGGGGTATTACTGTATTATCAATATGTTATCTAAATTTTAAAATTACTAATAATTTTAATATAAAAAATGCAAAAATATTAAAGAGCCACAACTTTCTTGACATTTACTCCACTGGAAACAAATGTAAATATAGAACAGATTACTGAATTGGCAGACTAGCCCATCAGCTGATGCTCACAACAAAACGTGTTTGTCGTAAGGGTTTCGTTAATTGATGTTTTGTTCGTTAACTGAATTGAAGATCCCTATGGGAGGTAATTCGTTAATCGAACCGTTCATTACCCGAGGGACCACTGTATATTGAGGTATTGTTAGAGGTGAACCCCCTTTCCCCAACTTATGGATTATGTGGAAAGAGAAGTCCATTATATGAAGGTTTCACTGTATGGTAGTTAGTGAAGTACAGTACAGGTAACTCTCTTTTGATTTAAGCGTTTTTTGGAATGGTGCGGTTGTTCAATTAATATCAAAAGCTAATTTACGCGCACCTATTTTTGAAATAACGCTCTCAAGACAGTTTAAATTTGCCGTGCGTATTCACCTGGTTGCCTGGCAGTGGAGTCACGTGTAATGCCTGGTGAAGTGCTGGTAAGCTATTACTATAAAGTCACAGTCTTATCAACATCAACGATTTTAATAATAATTATTATAATAATAATGTAATAATAAAGATTATTACTACTGATGATGAAGATAATGATGATAATGAAGTATTCTGTACAACAACTGTGACGACATCCAGGAAGCTTCCCGCATATCACTTTCTCAGTTCACGCCAACACTACTTTTTTTCTGTGCTCTCATTTACATTGTGTGTTTATCACGTACCTTTTTAGTGTTAAACGCTGTTTTCCCTATTGAGCATGTCTGGAAAACGTCCATCTGCCTCCTCTGGGGCGCCCAAAGCTAAAAAGGCACAAAAAACAATCGCAATGGACATGAAATCAAATGTGATCACCTACCTTCAGAGAGGAGAGCGTGTGTTGGAGGTTGGTCGCGTGCTTGGTTTAAGTGAGAGCACTGTTAGTACCCTGTGCGGTATATGATGGTTCCCCTAACCCAGGGGTTTTCAAACTATGGGTCCCGACCCTTCAGTGGGTCGCGAAATAAATAAATTGGGTCGCAAAATAAAAATGGGTCGCGAAAATAAATAAGAAAAATAAAATAAAATGGGTCGCGAAAATAAATAAGAAAATAAAAATAAATGCACCATAATTTAGGCTTGGTTATTGTAATGTACACTCCACAGTCTAGGAAGCAACTGCAAGGAGAGCAGTGTTTGTCTTTGGTTACTCATTTCATATCATTACACTTAGGTTTAATGGGTCGCAATTCAAATTGTTGTTCTGGCTGTGGGTCGCAGTAAAAAAAAGTTTGAAAAACACTGCCCTAACCTGTACCATTTACATGTATTCTTATGGGAAATTTATGTTCAATTTACACGTTTTTGAGTTAAGCGGTGGTTTTCAAGAACATAACCCCCACGTAAAACGAGAGGTGGGTGTACTAGGTGAAAGAGCATTTTGAACCTGATACTATATACTGTATAAGTCCCGAGAAGTGCATAGCGTACTTGAAGGGGACCAACCATCTACACGAAGACTAGGTTAATATACAAGGAAGACATTTAGAAAAGAGAATGATGAATTAATTATCTTATTATTTTGCAGAAGTGAAACAATAGAGGTACACTCTCCTACGTCACCCACATTACTAGACATTGGGAATTATAAACAGAAAAAAAGACGAAAGAACAAAAAAACCAAGAAGGCCTTGAGCCGACTAAGCGCCATAACGAGGGAGCTAAAACAAAAAGATTTGGTAAGTTTTTTCATGTTATTTGTCATAAAGTTGTAAAGAAACAATGTATCCTTTGAGAGGGAGTTTACCATGCCATACAGTCACTCAGCCAGTTGTCTGATTATCCAAGTTCTCCTCATGTTGCTCTCATGTAATATTGTATGTGGGAAATGAAACAATATTATTATATGTTTTTAAATTGCATATGCAAATTACTGAGTATGTAGAGTAAAGGTATAGAGTTGCAGGAGAAAGTGGTGGAATTCGGAAGTGAACAAAAGTTGGAGGTGTGGATATTGTCAGCATAACCTCTCAAAATATATATTAGTACAGCGTAACAAACCCACTGTTAGTACCAAATTGAAACCACATGTCTTGGCTTGGTTGGCTTTACACAGCATCGCAACCAGTGGCACAGTTTCTCAGTAACTTCCGTGTCCTCCACCTTAAATGTCATTGAAAATTTTTTTGTAGCATTTTAAGATATTTTAGGACAGTTTTTTGTTTTTTATAATAATGTATCAGAGCTTTAATAATGAGAGTTATAGGAAAATGCGGTTCAATTCATGAAAATTTTATTTATAAAAGGATTGGTACCCTTTCATAAATCAGGGAATACCTTTACAGTAATTCTTTACGGGTTGGTTTGTCAAAATATCTTTTGAGGAAAACCTTGTTTCTTTATTATCTTATTGTTGTCATGTTCTTATATGTTAAACTTTGCAAAAGGAGATGTCAATAACAATAAAAATGTACAAAGTGAGACACTTGCTCTGAACACTTAGGTAGAGATTGCTTATGGACCATCAATATACTAATATTTAAGTGATTTTTAATGATGTAATTATACTGTATTGAAATTACTGTATTCCAGGCAGATAAGAAACTGGACTTGAGTATTGGCAGTGATGGAGTGTTCAGTTGTGATGAAGATGATATTAATCCCGAGATTAAACTTAGAGTCAAATGGGGATCAGATTACCTTCGCATGCCTATGAAGACTGTAAGTTGGTAACTAACTCTTGTTGGTGTATGGGGCACTGAGAGATGGTGTTGAGTAATGTGCAATAATGTGTTGTTATAATTTATTCATAAATCACAGTAGGTGGAGAAACCCCTAAGAAAAATATATTAGTGAAATGAGGATATGGTATACAGGTAAAACCTCCATGCAGACTACCGTTACATATACAGTAGTCCATTGAATAGGCAGAGGTTTCCATATTAATTTTGTTTATTATTGACACATTTATGTGTTCCTATCACAGATGCAGAAATTTTCCCACATGTACCAACAACTTGCAGAGCGTTTCAGTGTGAGCGTCGGGCAGATAGTGTTAAGCCACAATGATAAGGTGATCAACTCTGCATTATGCCCACATGACTTGGGTATCACGATTGCTGACATTATAGGTAGGTTGTTGGCAGTTATTTTTGAGCGGTTGACTGGTTGTTTATACTGTATATAGCGTTAAGCATGATTTAAAGTGATATAAAATTTTGGTCTATTAGCGTTTATCGTGTAATGAAGACAAGGACCGGCTCTGTTGATTAAAAAACCAAGCAAGTTGATGATGTATTAAAGATTTACGTATAGTTTTGACCATAGGACATGTTTTGATGTTATGGAGTTTTGCTTTGATAATATATATTATATTTTTTTCTTTCACAGAGGGTGGAATTCAGTCGCAAGCAATTACAAACGGTGAGAAAAGCACATCTTTAGAGAAAAGGGGTCCAGATTCTCTTTGTCTCAAGGTTCAGAGTGCTGAGAGAAAGGGGCTTTTAAACATTTACATCAATCGCTATGATAAGATGAGTGTATTAATGCATAAATATGCAATGGAGAAAAATATTAGTATAGACAAACTTAAGTTTTTATTTGATGGTGAAATTTTGGACCCCAGAGACACTCCACAAAGTTTAGATTTGGACGGTGGGGAGTGTATCGACGTTTATGACAAGTGATGAAATGATCTCTTTATGCAAGTTGATCATTGTGGTATTTAAAATATATTTGTCTAACAACACATTCCTGTTAATCTCTCTGAAGTACGGAATTGGGATTAGTATGGGCTCGCTAGATAAGAAATACAGAAAAGGATAATAATGTATACTGCATATGCTAGTATGGTTTATTGTGTATCTTGATATTGTCTTTGTAGGATGGTATTTATCTTAATTTTTAAGTCTGACAGTTTTTATCCTTATTTAGTGGGACATTGAATAAAGTGTATACCATTTTCTTTATCTGTCTATACAGTACAGTATACAGTGGAACCTCGATAAATCAGACTAATTGGGGCAGACCCCAGTCCAAAAAATGCAGAAGTCCGATAAAAGCGAATATATGGGGTGGGGGGGATAACTGCTTCTCTGAGCTGTTTAAAGAAAATCAGTTGTTGTTATGTTATTACTGCACTTCAACAACTAAGTTCTTTAAGTGTATAACAAGGTTATTAAAAGAATATTACATCAACAATAAAAAAAAATATGAAACAGAACTCTCTGGGTTGAAAATCAGACATGCAAGTCTGGTTGTCAACAACTCTGTTGTCACCGAGATGATTGTTATTTACAGTAAAGTGTTATATGTAGGTAACCACAGAATTTTTCTTGTGAATAAAGAGAAAACTGTATATTCCACAATACTATAAAGATAAAAATAACAACAAATAAGTGTATGAGTATATTGTATGTGGAAGACAAATATTTATCTGGGAGCAGTCGGTAGAGGGGAGGGGTGGTAGAATGGGTGGGTGGCTCCCTCTCCCCCACAAGATTCCTTTAACATTTCTTTATGCAATTCCATCACAATTCTCATATAATTTAGGATCATTTGGTGCCAGGTTGATAAAATATTATCCTAAAAGAATCCCACAAACTGAAAACCATGAGTCATTTCATACTCATTTGTTTACAAAGAGCAAACAGCTGATCGGCTTACCACAAATGTCAGTCTTCAACACTTAGTAAATTAGTAGAGTAGAGTTGTGTATTTATCATCACTTAATAAATACTATTGTAGTGTATTTGTTATTACTTAAGTAATATTGTGGTGTAAAGCATTATGCATTTGCATATACCCTGGATTATTCATTAATCATTTGTCTATAAGTAGCCAAACTGAGTCATCATATAACACTCAAACTTAGTAAATAACATTTTTAAGAAGGTATCTTCATATCAAAAACTATATAGTGTGTTATAGTGACCCATGTTGTAAGCTGGTCGTTTGCTGAAAGCTTTCACACGAATGCATCTTGAGTAAACGACCTTCTGATACAGCTAATCCTTTTATTTTCAAGTCATTAAAAATTACATACAGTATTGTATTTTTCCTCTAGTACTGAAGATGTTTTATTAATCATGATGAACCATAAAAGGCCAATCATATGAGAATATAATACTGAATCAATAAATAGACAAACCTGACAACACCGGATCAGCCCCAACCTGTTTACATACTCAAGTGTCTTAGTTCTCAGTAGGCCTATAGCAAATCTGATTAGACCACTGTACAGTCTTCAGTAAGTGTTGTTCATTTGATAAGATTTTGTATTAATCTTTCCCATTTCTTAATTTTTTTATAGTATTCTGGTGACCAGAGCATCTCGAGTCCGAAAAAAGCGAATTCCGATATATTGAAGTCTGATTTATCGAGGTTTTACTGTAGAATCTTTCCTACTTACTATTTGAATACAGTATCTCAAGAAATTTCTGTCCAAGGCAATAGAGGGAAACTTAAAACTTTTGTTGAAGAATTCTCTTTGTTAGCTTATTAATCATATAAAGGAAAATAATGCAACCTGCTGATAATAAGAAAGATACAGTATATGCATATCATTATGATCTGTCTCAATACAGTATATGTTTCTCACTTCCTTATGAGCAAGTTAAGGGTTGAAGAAGTGTGTGGTTAGGCAAGTTAAGAGTGAGAATGGAGCTGATATGTAAGTGATGCAACATTACTTGGTATGAAGTGAGTACTTGAGCGGTGCTCTACAGTAAAAGGAGAAGGTAAGAATAAGGCTGCTAGGAGGACTAGAGCAACCTTGGTAAAGTGCAACTATGTAGTCTGGAACAAGCTAATGACAAAATGCCACTTGTTTATGGGACATAGAGTTGATTGTAACCAAAGGGTCTACTCTGTTTTCCACCTCAAAGTGTTTTTTTTGCTGAGGCAGGGGATTGTAGAACTCTTTTTCTGCATCAGTAAAATTGTGGGTTTAAATACAGGGTGTCAAGGTACATTCACTCATGCAGCAGGAGTTTACTCTAGAAATCTCGTGAAACAAAAAAACTAAAGATAGAATCTCTCTAGGCAGCCCTTCAAATAAGACCATAGCATTATGGCCCAAAACCCATGAAGAATTGGGTAAAGTAACAGTAATGCTTCTAGTTTCAAGTCTGAAAGGGGGAATTTTACCCAAATTCTACATGGGTTTCAGAACATAAGGCATGGTAAGTGTAACGTGACTTTTTTCATTGATTGTACACAAGTTACTGTGTTGGTTATAAATTAGGAATTGATCCTGAACCAAAGAGACTTGAATCTCATTCCTCCTTAGGGATACTTAAGCAAGGTGGAAACTGAAGATTGGATGAGCCTGGGACCTATTGTATGGTTTGTTTGGGTCACGAGGCATGTTCAGTGCAGTACACTAGACAAAGTGTAGTGGTGCCATCGGCAGCTGGCTTATCACTTATTTATAGAGGCAGCTGTTAAACCAAGAGCGATCCTAGTACGGTATTTGTTTTCTAGTTTTACTGCATTTCTGGAGCCCTGCCCTTTAACACAAGTGAAGGAATCCTGGGGATTAGCCCTCATGCTTATTGCTGCTATATTTGGAGTAGGAAATTTTTATAATACATTGGCCTGTTTACTGAGGATACTCAAATATGAGAATTTAAACTTTTTGACCACAGATCCTTAACCCTTATGTCCCGGGCAACACAAGACCCACCATACCCCTGACCCAAGCATATTTTGGCCAAAAAAAATAAATAAAATAATAATACAAAATTAATATACAATACTAGTTAAAAACTGATATTTCAAGCGTAAAATTAGTGCAACCACTCCAAGTGTACTGTTGTGCACATAGCGGTACGTCATACGGGGTCACTATAGTGGACGCCACCCAGGCTTTAATAGTTAATCTGCAAGTTGAGTACAATCTACAGTGAGATTTTAAGAAAAAGTTTGCCCCCCAAATGCTACAATCCATAAAATTAATAATCAAAATATCAAACTCCAGAGACTATAACAACATTTGTCAATTTCTTTACAATTCGATGACAGATCCTTAATCAGCAGTCAAGGACTACTAATATAACCCTACCAAGATTTTAAGGAGGAGGGGGGAAAAAAAGTTATTTTGCTCAAAATCTCATAGGTAATCCTTGATATGCTGATTAAGGTTTTGTCATCAAATTGCTTAAATTGTGAAAATTGATTGTTGTAGTAGTCCTTGAAGTTTTATTTTTTTTTATTATTTAGTCTAATTACTGTGAGGATACTTGAAGCATTTTATTTTCACAAAAATGGAATGCAAGGCACATGAAATGTAATAAGACTGCCGACCCTGCAGTTCACTCCCACTGATGAAGAACTTTGTTTAAGGGTTAAAAATTTTTTTTAGGGATAGAATAATGAGGAACTGTGATGACCAGTGTTCCTACTGCACAATAACAACCAACCACCACTAAAAGCTGCATTAAATTTAATATATATATATATATATATATATATATATATATATATATATATATATATATATATATATATATATATATATATATATATATATATATATATATATATATATTCGACCCTTGTTAATTCGGACTAATAGGGGGGGAAGGGTGTCCGTTTTAGCCGATTGTCCTAATTAACCGATTTAGGGGTTAATATTGCATTATATTTCAAAGTCATTGTTTTCGTCACGATTTTATCCCACTTTCCACTGTAATAGGTACGTCATTTCAGCAAAAATATTACAGTTCCGTGAATGTATTATATCAATCACAGTATGAATAGAATATCAATGTAATATAACAGTATTTTAACCGAAAACTAGTAAAAAAACGAATAACATCTCAAGAACATCGGAAGCTTAGGTAAAGTCTTTTGTTTTCGTCATGTATTTTATCTTATTTTACATTGAAATACATCACGTTTCAGCAAAACTACTGTTTATTTCCGAGAATATATTCATTCAGGCGCAGTTTAGGTAAAATATACGTGTGATGTAACAGTTTTTTAACTGAAAACGATTCGAAAAACACGTACCCTCTAGCCCTGTTCAAGGAGAGGACTGGGAGAAGCTGTTTGGTGCTGCAGATGATGACAAGGAAAATGATTTGGATGGATTTTAATGAAAATATTCAGAAATATGGTATCGTAGTATTTATTCAAGTCAATTACGATAGAATATTATTGTAATACAACAGTTTTTTAACTGAAAACCAATCGAAAAGCGATTACTGTAACATCTTTTGAACGAAAGAAAGCGAAAGTCATTGTTTTCGTCACGATTTTATCCCACTTTCCACTGTAATACGTACATCATTTCAGCAAAAATATTACATTTCCGTGAATGCATTATATCAAGCACAGTATGAATAGAACACCATTGTAATATAACAGTATTTTAACCAAAAACTATTAAAAAAACCGAGTAACTTCTCTTGAACATCGGAAGGTTAGGTAAAATCTTTTGTTTTCGTCATGCATTTTATCCTATTTTACATTAAAATACATCACTTTTCAGCAATACTACTATTTATTTCTGAGAATATATTCATTCAGGCACAGTTATGGTAAAATATACATGTGATGTAACAGTTTTTTTAACTGAAAACGATTATAAAAACACGTGTGCCGTCTAGCTGATGCTGGTGGTGCGTCATGCGTCGTTGTAAACAATAGGAGGTTGAAGTAGATTACCGGGTATTATATTAAGTGTGAAATATCAAAAAGGTTTTTATTACCGGTATTTTTGGTAGATCAATGAGAACTGTTATACCGTATATGATATGATAAGTTAGCCTGTGCTAAGAACTTCAACATAGACTACTGAAAACACGTTGTAAAGTAATTTAGCCTATTGTAAGTTGGTGAGCTTCATTTGCTGAAGGAACTGCACAACTTTTCATTACTAATTGGTACATATTTTATGTTTCCATTGTTTACTGGCAGTAAATGGTAAATATTTTCATGTCTGAAGCTAAAAGTTGCATCTCCCCCCACACTAGTGGTGATGTTACATTTAACCAAAACGACGCTGGTGTTTTATCCCAGCAGTGGGTGGACCAGCATTTTAGCTTAAGGTCCACGTAGGTAATATTCCTAA